AACCTTTGTTTTGGGCTTTTTGAATTTGTCCCAGAGGACACATTTGTCCCAGAGGACACATTGTCCCAGAGGCTACTTGGAAATCGTTTTGTATAAACATCCTAATACTGGAACACACATTCTGCCCATAACAGCACTTGGGACCCTTTGGGATCCTCACCGGAATCCCCACCGTCGTCGTCGCCGTCGCCGTCGTCGCCCCTCGTCGCCGCTCGTCGCCGCTCGTCGTTGTGGCTCGTCGTCGCCGCTCGTCGCCGCGTCGTCGCGAGGTCTCCACAAATATATCCACATCGGTATCCACAAAGAGGTATCCACACAGGCCACCAGTGCTGGTCGCCGCGTGTCATCCGTCCCCGCCTCTATCCTCACCTCACCCCCCGGCCCCGTTGTGTGGGTCAGGAGTGAGGACGGGAAGCAGTGCAGTGATTGTGGGCGCTGCAGAGCGCCTGCGAGGCTTCAGCGACTGTGAGGGTTTTTTGGGCTGCAGCGACTGTGAGGGGGGACTGCAGGAGACCTGGGAGCTGCAGCGACTGTGAGGGGGCCTGGACTGCAGCGACTGTGAGGGCATGTGGGGGCTGCAGCAAGGGAGGCGCCTGCGGGCTTTAAGAAAGCGCAGCTGTGAGGGCGCCTAGGCGCTGCACCTGGGCGTCAGCGGCTGCGGCAGCGAGGCTGAGGCTGCTGCGATTGTGAGGGTGCTTGGGGTGCAACTGGGCTGCAGCGACTGCGGCAGCCAGGCTGGGGTGCAATAAGCCTGGGGCTGCAGCGACTGCGGCAGCGAGGCTGGGGCTTCAGCTTGCCAGCGTCGTCGCCGCCTCGTCGCATCGTCGCTGCGTCGTTGTCCCCGCCTCTATCCTCACCGGCTCACCGGTATCCTCACCCGTCATCGCCGCCGCTCCGTCATCGTGTCGTCACATCATCCCTCCCCGCCTCTATCCTCACCGGCAACCTGTGAGGGCACCTTGCCCTGTGAGGGCACCTTGCAGGTCGTCGCTGTGTGGTCGTCGCGTCGTCGTCGCCGCACCGTCGTCTCCGTGCTGCCGTGCCCGCGTCATCGACGCCGACGTTGGCCGCCGTCGTCGCCGTGCCGTCGCGCCGTCGTCCCCACGCCGTCGTGCCCGCGTCGTCGTCTCGTCCCCGCACCGTCGTCTCCGCGCCTTTCCTCAATCCATCTCAATCCTCACCCCTATCCTCACCTCTATCCTCACCCCATGTCGTCGCCAGTCGTCGTCCCGTCCTCGCCTCCATACGCTCACCTCGCTCCGCTATCCTCACCCGGTCCTCGCCTAGTCATCGCTGCGTCGTCGTCGCCACGTCGTCGCCGCGCCGTCGTCGCGTCGTCGTTGCCGGTTCGTCGGCTCCGTCGTCGTCGTCGTCGTCGCGTCGTCACGTCGTCGCTTCATCGTTCCTGCCCGTTGTCGCCGCATCGTCGCCGCGCCGCCGCCCCTGCTTGTCGCTGCCACGCCCACGCGTCGTCTTCGTCCCCGCGTCGTCGTCCCCGCGTCGTGCCGGGTCGCGCTTGCATCGTCGCCGCCGTGTACCCTCACCTTCATCCTCACCTGGATCCATCCTCACCTCCATCCTCACCCAATCCTCGCCTCGCCACCGCCTGGTCGCCTCGTCGTCCCCGTCGTCACTTCGTCGTCGACGAGTCGCCGTCGAGCTGTCGTGTGTTAGCGCCGTCGTCGCCGCCGCGTTTCCCGCGTCGTCGCCGCCCCACTGCCTAGTCTCCGCGCCGTCATCGTTTCATCGCGCCATCATCGCGCCGTCACGTCGCTCTTCGGCGCGCCTCGGTCCACCTTCGTCGATCGTCGCCGCGCCGGTCTTTGGTGCATCCCGGTGCACCGTCGTCGTCGTCGTCGTCGTCGTCCCAGTCGTCGTCGCGACCCTTCAGTGCCGGCGTAACCGCCGTCGTCGCCCAAGTCGTCATCGCCACCCTTCGGCGACGGTGCAGCCCAGCGCAGCACCGTCATCACCTCAGCCGTCATCGCCCCTTAATTCGGTGAGTCGTCGTCGCCGTTCGCCCGTCGTCGCCGCAGTCGCCATCATCGCCACCGTCGTCGTCGTCGCATCGTCGCAGCCCTGCGTCCCGCGTCGCCGGCCAACATGCAGGACCTAGTGAGCCGCCACCGTCCGAGCCGTCGCCGTCGTTTCCACGCCGTTGTTTGGCTCTGGGATAACATTTGTAACACGGCTCTAGCGTAGCATTTGGGGTAACATTTGCGGTAAAGCGGCTCTGGGGAAACATTTGGGGTAAGACGGCTCTGGGCGTGTCTCTGGGTATTGCGACTCGGCCGTCGCGGCCGCTCGCCTGGCGCATCGCCCCGGCGCCGTCGTCTCCGCTGGATCGTGTCGTCGTCTCCGCTGCGTCCCCGCCGCGTCGTCGTCGCCACCCCGACGCCCCGCGCCCGAACGCGTCGTCGTGGGCGCAGTCGTGTCGCCGCAGTGCCCCTTCGTTGCACCCCGGTGCAGCCCCGGTGTCGTCAGCACCCCCGCCCCTGCCGTCGCACTGTCGCGGCTGCCCACCGGCCCGCTCGCCGGCCGTCGTCGCGGCTCTCGCCGCTGCGGGTCGCCGTTGTGCTCGCTGCGTCGTCGTCGTCGTCCCGGCCGCGCCAGTCGTCCGCGTCCGCCAGTCGTCCGAGCCGAAGCCGCGAGCGTTCGCCGCCGAGCGCCCGCTCGCCGTCGCCCGGTGTCCTCGTCGCACGCCCCACTCGTCGTCCGTGCGTCGCCACCGCCGTTGTTGCCGTCGTCGGTCGTTGTCGTCGTCGTCGCCACCGTCATCGCTGCCTTCGCCGTCGCCATCGTCGCCGCCGTCATCGTCGTCAACACTCTCGGTCACGGGTCGCGCTGCCGTTGTGGTCGTTCGCGTCTCCGTCCTCGGGCGCTGTCGGTCCTGTTCGCCGCTATCGGTCGCCGGTTGAAATCGTGTGGTCGTCACCGTCGTCCGTCGCCGCCGTTGTCGTCGTTGATCCTCGCCTCTATCCTCACCCGTCGTCGTGCTCAGCCACCCTGCCGCCGGCATCGCCGACCTGTCGTCGGGTCGTGGTTGTGCTCGCCGCCGCGTCGTCGTCGTCGGGTCTTGTGCTCGCCGCCGCCGGTTGGCAGTGTTTCGATGGCGCGGGACCCCGGGGGCAAAACATGAGGGCCACCCCGGCACTTCCGATTCCTCGATTCTGCAGTGAGCATCAGAACAACGTGAATCAAACTTCGGCCCTGGCTGCTGCTGCTTCGGCGCTGACAACATGGAGACTTTGTTGGACCGCCGCAGCAGTCCCGGAGCCCACTCCCCGGCGAACCGGACGGTCCCGGCTCCCAGTGCCGACTGAGATAGGCAGTTCGGGCACGATGGCGACGAGTCTTGCACAGCTTGCCCAGGCCTTTAAGGGCTCCGTGTTGAAGGCCAAAGTGCTCTGAGGCGCAATTTTTTGGTTCAATCAAGCGCTTCTTGGCTCACGCCGTTGTAAAGCTTTTTAAACGCTCAAACCCTCATTGCTCAAGTAAGTGCGGCGTCCCTTTTTTACGAAGAACCCTAAACCCCTATGCGCCCAAAAGGAATAAACCACTCCTTTTCCGCGGCTTTTCAATGTAGCGGACGCGCGCCCCTAAAACAGCTAGGGCCGAGCCAGGGGTTGCACATTTTTGCACGATTTTGCATATCTTACATGATTTTGCTTGGCTCTGATTTTCCTTGCTCGCGCCGCACCTTCTCCAGGGCAGGGCCACAAGCACGCACAGCAAGGCAGCAAGCACAGCAGACACAGTAGGCACAGCACCGCAGCCGCACAGTGTCGGGATGGGTCCGGCCTTTTGTTTTGATGCCGGGGCCTGTGAGCTGGAGTGCAGCATGTTGGTGAGACCTCCGCCCCTGCTTCTCCAGAAGGCCCGGGCCCCTCGCCGCGTCTCAGGTGTTTATTTCGCCGGCTCCGGCTGGAGCTTTTCGGGGGGCTTATAAAGGTGGAGTGTGTGCGTCTCCCCGGTCACTTCCTCCCGCAGCCCGGGTCTTCAGGGTTTTGCAGGCTTGGGGGCTCCGAGGCTGCCAGGCAGTGGAGGGCCTTGAGTGTCTTGCAGCTCCATCCCTTTGCAGGAACCTGGCCCCCCTCCTCACCGCGCAGGTCTTCTTGTGGAGCACTTCGCCAGGCTGATGGTTTGGTGGTTTAGGGTCGACGGAGGTGCGTGGTAGGAGTGGCTTGGGTCAGCAGAAACGGCTGCAGCTCCAGGTAGGACTAGGGGTAGGCAGAGGTTGCGGAAGCCCCTTGCAGGCTCGCCCACTCTGGCCAGGCCGTCCTGGCCACGACTTCGCTTCGGGAGGCAGGTTGGGTCGTGACTGGTGTTGTGTCTTTGACGATTGCCAGTAGGGCTCTTGAACAGCGCAGCGTTTCTGCATCAGCGATGTTCAACTTTCCCACTCGAAGCCATGGCACGGAAGTGCGCAATTGCAAAGCTCGCGTTGGCTGTGTTTGGTGGCTTGGCGACAACATTCCAGGCCGGAGTCGGTCCGCGGCTGTGGTGTGAACACACCAATCTTGCTGCGCAGGCGCAGATGCCGTGCTTTCAGCTTTCCGGTCGGCCGCTCCCGCTCGCCACAAGTAAGGCTGGGGGGTGTTTTGGATATGCAGCTTGCAGGCCTGAGAGGCTTTGTCTGTCCGGCAGGTGCCACAACCTCCTGGGAAACGAGATCTGCCTCTTGCCACCAGGAAGGCCGGGTTTTCAACATCAGGCTCTTAGATCTCCGCATGCGTGCCGTAAGCGTGGTCTCGTTGTCTGGAGGAACTGCGTGTTTCGAGAGACCACCAGCGAAGCTGCCAGCACGGAGTCTGCCCGGATGGCTCCCATGGCTTGCCCGAGGGCATCAGCACGTCTCCATTTGGAAGAAGCTGTGGCCCTTTGTTGTCTCAGTCTCTGGCGTGGTTCTCTCTGTAGAAGCCACATTGCGTGGCAGGCGTGATGCTGAGAGAGCCCAGCAGGAATCTCAAGAGGGCAGAACCCAAGCTGCGGCGGACCGCATGATGGTGCCCTTTCCCCCACAAACAAAGAAAGCCGAAGTGGTCGAGCGCGACATCACGAAGACCATCGAAGAGCGGATCCTGGGCTGGCATGAGCATGCAACCATCATTGCGGGGCGCTTCGGCGCGGGCAAATCCGTGGCTGTCGAAGAGGCCCTGCGCGACATGCAGGGCGTCTACGTCCACCAAGTCCGTGGCAACGACTGGGAGGAGAAACTCTACAAGCGCTTGGGCCTGGATGGGCCGGACATGCTCGAGGAGGTTCTTCGTCGAGTGGGTGACAAGCTGAAGAGGCCGCCCATCCTGCTGCTTGACATCCCACGAACCACGAAGCAAGGCGGGGGGCGTTAGGGCTTTCGTTTCCCTTGGCTACTTGCTTTGCTGCATTCCGAGGCATGGAAACGATTTCCAGCTTCGCCAAGGAGCTGTCGTCGGACAGGAAGCTGGCCCACGCCGGGACCCGAAGACTCAGCCGCCCTGTTTCGCTGTGCTGCCGCAGGGTCTCGTGCAAGCTGTCCGCAGGGTTTCTTCCGAGGTGATCGTGTGCGCCTCCTCGGCCGCGATGGCCATCTCCTTCGACGCAGGTGGCAGCGCGCGCCAAAAAGACATCTGGGTGGGCGACTTGACTGAGAAGGAGGCGAAAGAGCTGCTGACACTCCGCGGGCACCAGAATGATTGGAAGCAATTCGTGGATGCATGCCCCTTGGTTGCGTTGTTTGCTGGCAGACTGCAGGTGCGGTGCTTGTTTTGTCATGGTGTTCAGGTGGCTTCAACGCTTTGGACTTGGTCGACGCCTGCGACATCTCGGTGGAGGCCAAGAAGGCGGAGATGGAGCAGAAGGCCCGCAAAGAGGTGCTGCGCTTCAAGGACCAGTGCAAGATCGCAGGAGACACAGGAAAGGAAATCCTAAACAAGCTGCTGGAAAACAGGCAGGCCGGCGAAGGTGCAGAAGAGCTCTGCACCGATGCATCTCCGAAGGATGTGGCGATGTGGATCCGCGAGAAGGGTTATCACGCCGTGATCTGGCACACAGTGAAGCGGGAGTACCAATTCGCATCGGAGCTGCACGCGAATGCAGCAACCGAGATTTTGAAGAGCACCTCCCAGTCGACGCCATAACTGCGGAAAGAAGGGCGTGACGTTGAGTGCAGTCTTGGGAGCCTGTAAGAAACAAGATCTGTAGCTGTGCCAGGCCCCGCCGAAGCAGCTGCAGCCAGGGCCCAAAAGCGGAAGTTTGCTTCGCGTTGGACGCAAGTTGTTCCCCAAATGCTTTTTCGGTTCTGAATGCTTTGGAGCAGTCAAGTGCGGTTCCCAAAATCTTTGGCGCTTCCTAAATGCTGTTGAGCAGTCAAGCACTAAGCGCTTCTATACGTCCCGAATGCTTGCGTTGCGCATGTCCACAGTTCTGAATACTTTCTCGGCCGCCATGGCCCTGAGCTTTGATGCCGGCGGCGACCAACGTCAGAAGAACTATTGGGTGGAGGACCTTACTGATGACGAAGCCAAGGAGTTTCTGGCCCTCCGCGGGCACCGGGAGGATTGGGAGCAATTCGCACAAGCCTGCGTCTGGGCCGCATTGTTTGCTTTGTTTTGTCGTGAGGGGCCCTGCGCTGCACTGGTTGGAGTGTCCTTCAGGCGACTACCGTGCTGTGGATTTGGACTTAACCTGTGGAGACTACAAGGGGCCGGGGTGCAACGAAGGGGCACTGCGGCGACACGACTGCGCCCACGACGACGCGTTCGGGCGCGGGGCGTCGGGGTGGCGACGACGACGCGGCGGGGACGCAGCGGAGACGACGACACGATCCAGCGGAGACGACGGCGCCGGGGCGATGCGCCAGGCGAGTGGCCGCGACGGCCGAGTCGCGATACGCAGAGACACGCCCAGAGCCGTGTTACCCCAAATGTTTCCCCAGAGCCGCTTTACCGCAAATGTTACCCCAAATGCTACGCTAGAGCCGTGTTACAAATGTTATCCCAGAGCCAAACAACGGCGTGGAAACGACGGCGACGGCTCGGACGGTGGCGGCTCACTAGGTCCTGCATGTTGGCCGGCGACGCGGGACGCAGGGCTGCGACGATGCGACGACGACGACGGTGGCGATGATGGCGACTGCGGCGACGACGGGCGAACGGCGACGACGACTCACCGAATTAAGGGGCGATGACGGCTGAGGTGATGACGGTGCTGCGCTGGGCTGCACCGTCGCCGAAGGGTGGCGATGACGACTTGGGCGACGACGGCGGTTACGCCGGCACTGAAGGGTCGCGACGACGACTGGGACGACGACAACACACGACAGCTCGACGGCGACTCGTCGACGACGAAGTGACGACGGGGACGACGAGGCGACCAGGCGGTGGCGAGGCGAGGATTGGGTGAGGATGGAGGTGAGGATGGATCCAGGTGAGGATGAAGGTGAGGGTAGACGGCGGCGACGCAAGCGCGACCCGGCACGACGCGGGGACGACGACGCGGGGACGAAGACGACGCGTGGGCGTGGCAGCGACAAGCAGGGGCGGCGGCGCGGCGACGATGCGGCGACAACGGGCAGGAACGATGAAGCGACGACGTGACGACGCGACGACGACGACGACGACGGAGCCGACGAACCGGCAACGACGACGCGACGACGGCGCGGCGACGACGTGGCGACGACGACGCAGCGATGACTAGGCGAGGACCGGGTGAGGATAGCGGAGCGAGGTGAGCGTATGGAGGCGAGGACGGGACGACGACTGGCGACGACATGGGGTGAGGATAGAGGTGAGGATAGGGGTGAGGATTGAGGAAAGGCGCGGAGACGACGGTGCGGGGACGAGACGACGACGCGGGCACGACGGCGTGGGGACGACGGCGCGACGGCGCGGCGACGACGGCGGCCAACGTCGGCGTCGATGACGCGGGCACGGCAGCACGGAGACGACGGTGCGGCGACGACGACGCGACGACCACACAGCGACGACCTGCAAGGTGCCCTCACAGGGCAAGGTGCCCTCACAGGTTGCCGGTGAGGATAGAGGCGGGGAGGGATGATGTGACGACACGATGACGGAGCGGCGGCGATGACGGGGCAAGGCTAAGAAGCGTCTGGGTGCCGATCGCACCCCGCAAGGGAAGCCCATTTGCTTCCGCTACAACGCTAAGGGGTGCAAGAATGGCAGCAAGTCTGCCATTTCGAGCACGTCTGCTCGCTATGCTTCGGCAAGCACCCCGCAGTGCCCCACCAAGAAGACGGAGGCCGCTAAGGAGGACAAGCCCTCCAACTGACCCGCTACTGCGGCTGCGCCCTCAGTGCCTGTGACCCCCCCGGAGGAGGATGCTACGCCAGCACCGCTCCGAAGGACTTCAGGAGCAGCTACGCTCGATCTGGAAAGAGTGGTTGGAAGCTGGAGGTCGTCTCCAGAAGCCGGCTTCGCTATTGGACGAGGCAGCGCCACTCTCTTTCTACACCGACGCTAAGGCCGAGAACGGACGTGCCTGGATCGGGGGCTTCCGTGAGCTAGTGGACGGCTGCCACGGACCTTGGTTCTCGCTAGAGGTGAAGGAGGACTGGGCCCCCTGGGCCTTCGCTAAAGGGGACCCGAACAAGGTCATAGCCGCACTGGAGCTACTGGCTACTTTGGTCGGCGTGAGGCTCTGGGTCCCAGAAGGGGAGGGTTTTTTGGGCTGCAGCGACTGTGAGGGGGGACTGCAGGAGACCTGGGAGCTGCAGCGACTGTGAGGGGGCCTGGACTGCAGCGACTGTGAGGGCATGTGGGGGCTGCAGCAAGGGAGGCGCCTGCGGGCTTTAAGAAAGCGCAGCTGACTGTGCCTAGTCCAGAAGACAACACTGTCAATGCCCAGGATGAACAGATCCGAGCTCAGCAGGGCTAGATTTCGCAGCTCACCGAGATGGTGAAGACGCTCGCCGTTGCGAGTGCAAACGCTGCAAGTTCGGCCGCAAGTGCAGCGCCTGTTGCTGCAAGTTCGTCCCAAGAGACGCCTGCTGCAGCTCTGGGCTCCTTCAGAGTTGACTCTGATGGTGTTGTGAAGATGGATGTGGACACAGGCTTGCGCAGCAACAGGGCGGAAAACTACATTCCGTCCCTGCCAAAGTTGGCAGCAGACAAGATGAGATCGCGCCATGAGGAAATCTCCACGTGGACCGCTTACCGTGAAGAACTGACCTCCTGGCTGTGTCTTCTAGACGACCGCTACGCGGAGGAACTGCAAGAGGCTGTGGAGAGTGGTGTTCAGGTTCAGCAGATCAGCCTCTCAAAGGGGAAGGCCGCTCGTTCCACTAAGCTGTGGTACCTCTTGAAGCAGGCCCTCGCTGGTTTTCAGCGAGGAGTTGACATAGCCAAGCTTGTCGAGTTGAGTCAAGGCGGTGCCGCTGCAGGGTACGACCTCTGGCGTGAGTTGAACAAGGAACTGTCTGTTAGGTCTCGTGTTGAGGGACAGGCGCTCAGAGAGCAGGCTCTCTTGATCGCGCCACCAAAGCACTTGAGACGGCCATTGGATATTTTTCGCCATATGATTTCTGATTTTGCTCGCTACCGCACGCTCGTTGCCAGCAAGTACCCAGACCTTGAACTGCAGCAGGCTGATGTTATCAGCTGCATCTTGAAGCACCTTCATGATGATTGCAAGAAGTACCTTTTGTTGCATGGGTCTTTGACAACTTTGGAGCAGCTTGAGCGCGGTTTGGTTTTCTATGATGCCGTTTTTGGGACGCTAAAAATCACAAACTAGTCCCATAAGGCTTTATAACCTTTTTGGTAGGTTTCGAAAGTTTGAAGAAGTTTTTCGAAACCGCTTCATGTGTCATGAGATTCCACTTGAACTTTTACGAATCCTTGTTGTTCCGCGCATGCTCAAACATAGGGTGGGTGGGCGGGAACCTTCCGTGCAGCAAAGTTTGTACGGGGGGTAAAAGAGAGTTGTGTAGAACGCGGGCTCCGGGCCAAGCTGTGTGAAACAGGTTTCAGGCCCGTGAACCCCTGGTGTACCGCCTCAGTGGCGCATGGGCAGCTTCTCTCGTGATGGCAGAGAAGAGGACGTTTGATGCTGCATTCGAAGGGCATCTTGCTCATGTTGTGCACCAGAATTCTACGAGCAACTCAAAGCAGCCTTGGGAGAGAAGCATTGTGAATGTGCCGAGTGTATTGCCGAGAGCTTTCTTGGGAAGGGGGCGTCTTGGGAATGTGCTTACTCATACGGCTGCTGCTCCTGTGAAAGCTCCGAGTGGCCCGTCGGCTATAAATCTGACTGCTACTGGAGGCAAGCTGCCACGGAAGGTTGGGCCTTCCTGGATTCAGAGACAATCGGATAACAGACATGCGGCTGTCATGAAGTGGCTTCGGATTGCTAAAGAGGGTGGCGACTTCTTTGGGGTCTGTGCTAGAGTGGCGGAAGATGCTGAAGCTGGATTGCCAGCCTCACTGCAGGAGTCTCTAGGAGATGTTTTCTCACTCAAGGCGAGCAGTACGCTTCACAGCAGGGCTGGCCCGGTCCTGAGATACATGGCATTCTGCTGGCGCATCAGAGAGCAGCCTTTCCCTTTGTCCGAGCAGAAGATGTATCGCTTCGTCAAGGAATACTGCAGTGGGGCTGCGCCTACCTTTGCCTCCAGCTTTATGAGTTCCATTGGCTTCATGCAATATGTCTTGGAGGCGAAGGTCCCGGCCGATTGTGTTAGCAGCCGGCTGGCTGGCGCAGTTTCGAAGCTCTACTTGGAGAAGAGAAAGCTGCAACAGAAGCCGCCGCTGACGGCTTCACAGATTCGGGCTTTGGAGCGAATTGTGCTGGGACTTATACCTGAAGTCCGTGCGGATGTCGATAAATACGCGGCAGGGTGCTTTTTGTATTGTGTGTTTGCAAGAGCCCGCTATTCGGACATGCAGTGTTCTGGTGAGCTGGCGAAAGACATCGTGCAAGGTGAGCGCGGACCGCGTGGGTACCTTGAAGCGAGGGTCACCAGGAGTAAAACGAGTCACAACTTGGAGCGTAAGACCCGATATCTTGCTATGGTCAGTCCGATATGGGGCCTTGAGCAGGATTCTTGGGCGTTGGCTTGGATGGAGGTGGCTGGCAGGGCGGGGCCCGCATGGGGGCCTGACATGCCCCTGCTACCGTC